TTTTTTAAAAAATATAATTAAATCCTTATATCTTCTTATTTCCTTTCACTATATAAAAACAAATATTTGCCGATAAAACAGACAGAGTTAACATTTCCTTAATGTTTCTATTTTTTTGTTATATAATATATTTATATTTATTAAATATTTAAATTTTAAAATATTTTATGTAAAGATTGAAATTATATTTTATACATTACATATAATAAAATTCTTTTAAATATTTTTTATATATTACCATTAAATTTATACAATTTCAAACACCACGTACGTTGCTTAATCTTATTGGAGCTTTAACTTTATATTTAAATTAATATCCCAAAAATTTTTTTATAATTGATAACATTGATAAAATATTTCTATTTTTTAATTATTAAAATATAAATGTGTGAACATATATTTTAATTTTTAGTACGTATTTATATGCTTCAAATGAAGAAAATAATTATGTGTAATATTTTATTATATTTATTAAAACAAATAATCGATAAAATTTATTTGTTGAATAATAGGATATTATCGCGTCAATTATGATGCAGAGAATTGGCAAAGAATTGCACATTATTTGAATTCTGAAAATTATATTAAGATACATGTTCTTAATCGAGCACAAATTATCGATGACGCATTTCATCTTGCGATGGAGAAAAAATTGAATTTTTCTATATTCTGGGATATTGTGGGCTATTTGCCGAAAAGAGAGATAGATTACATAGCATGGTATCCTATGATCAAAGCTTTTGAATACTTATCGAACTTTTTTGCAATTATAAATGTATATGACAAGGATTTTCTTTGGACTGTACTCCAGGTATTACAAATTGTAGCGATAAAATTAGAAATATTAGAGATCATTATATACAAACAATTTTGTATTATAATTATGATTCGTAAAAATTTGTATGGTAGATTGTTAAAAAAAATGTAATTATGTGCTAATTATATATATATGACAGTTTAAATAATATGCTAATCGTTCGAATCAATAATGCGTCTCTAATAAAATCAGTAACTTTATATTCTTTTAACCCGCTGCAAACACCGGCAGTATTTATTTTTACAGTTTCTTTAAAAATCTACGTTGCATATTTTTGTATACTAACAAATGCAAAGATCATTGAATTTTTCTACCAGCTTTTAATCGCAACAAAATCTTACAAATTCATTTTAAATGAGATTATGTGTTGTAAATTTTGTTTTTCTACAAATCCTTTGTTTTTTTATAAACATTCGTTAAAAAACAAATTTTTAAATTATAATTTAGGATATCATATTCTAATTTTAAAATTGCTTATAGTAAAAAGTGTAGGAATAAGCGATATTGAATTTGCTTTAAACGGAATTAAAAGAATTAGTCAAAACTTTTGTTATACACGTGAATTTATTAATTCGGAGTTTATTTTAATCATTAATTCAAATGATTTTATATATGATAATTTTGGTAATAAAAAATATGTATATTATTGCACATGTATTATTTACTTTATATTTATCTTTGTATAATATCTAATGATCAAATAAAAAATGTATTTTTTTAAACTGTAGAGAGCAGCATTCACAATAAAAAACATGTTAGATCATGAAAGAGAGTACATATATCCATATCTATATAGATACGAGGGTATACCCCAACAACTGAGACCTGTCGAAGATGATTTTGAGAAGTATTTAAAACTGGACCTTACAAAATGGGGATGTGTTAACAATAATAGTTTGTGCATAGCAATGGCCAAAAAAAAATTGGAATTGTATTTAAAAAATCAAACATTAAACAAGTAAGTTTTTTTATAATATTAATTATTTCTATGTAAATATTTTTGATATTCTTTTAGTAATATAGTTCATATGTAGAAAATAATGTAAAATCAAATATATAAGTATATACATATTATTATTCTCTATAACATATGTCACACACATACGCGATTCTTGTTAATTTAATTCAGTAATTCCTGTATGTATATACGTATATGAGAAGGAATAAAAAGATAAAATAAAAGTAACAACAAAAATCCTTTCAATTTTTCAAAATGAAGTAAATGTTAAAGAAATAAGAGAATAAACGTTTTCCTTATTTTCTGTGTAAATTATTTATATAAAATTTATATGTATAATATTATTATATATATAAAAATATATATGTATATATATAATTTATCTATATTTCTTAACTATATTTGATTATAATAGTTGACACAGTAAAAATAGTTGAAAAATTTGAAAAGAATAAGAAATAAAAGTATTAAAACATAAAATATAAAGTTAAAAAATAAAATAATGCAAAAAAAATTTTTTTTTTAAATAAAAATACAAAATATAATTTTTATAATTATTTATCCATTATTCTTCTTATTATTGTTTTCATACGTACGAACAGAGATTATACAAAAGTGAGGAAAAGTTTCACCGAAAAAATTGTATTTTAAGTACCAAAAAGATCTTTTAATTTAAGATGATATTCTTAATTTATTCTTATTTTCAGAAAAAATTTTATTAATATTTAGAGAAATTTTTTAAATTAAGAAGATCTTTTTTGCGCTTAGAATATAATTTTTTGAGTGTTGTTAACATATTTTATATAACTTTATATATTTATATTTGCTGTATATTAAGCAAGCACAAAAGTGAGGAAAAGTTTTACCGAAAAAAATTTATTCTAAGCACCAAGAGAATTCTCTTAATTTAAGATGATATTCTTAATTTGTTTTTATTTTCAGAAAAAATATATCAAAATTTAGAGAATTTTCTTAAATTAAGAAGATCCTTTTGGCGCTTAGAATATAATTTTTTCAGTGTTGTGAACATATTTTATATAACTTTATATATTTATATTCGCTTATATATTAATATTTTTCTGTATATTTTATAATATAAAGATGTTATATGTTAAATATCGATGTCATCAAAAACCAGAAATTAATTTTTTGTTTGTTGCAGAATTTTGCCTGGATGGGAGGAATGGACATTTTGTAATGGTTTAAAGACAGCAAACGTTAGTATGTGGTCCGCTGTATATTCTATGGCATCTAATATATACAAGGAAACTTCCAATTATAAAATGTTGAAATACCTTGGTTGTTCTGAGAATCCTAACATTATCGTTTTATATCTGTGGACTGTACTACCGGAATTTAAACAGGACCTGTTAAAAGAGAATGATTATAAGATGCTTACACAAAAAGACAAAGATAAAATTAATTGTTTAATTACTAATATGTTTCTTTCCACTCTTGCGAGACAAGCTAAGAACACTTTAGTACTTAGAGACATATTGCCGTCTTATGACATAAATTACAGAAGGAGGTAACAATTTCCATTCTACAAATATACATATATTGCGTATAATACGGAAGGTTTATAATATATGTTTTTATTATACATCTATACATATGTATAGTATATACTATTTTTTTTACAGTCCAGTCAGTATGGCAACGACATTAAACGTACTTATTAATAATGTTTATACCGGTAAACTACTTACCGAGGTAAATTTTATATTTTCTTTTATACATATTTTTACAAAATTTTTGTTTAATGAAAAATTCAAAATTAAAATAATGTTTATTTCAGATACGTGTATTTGCGAAAGAACATATGCCATCCATAGAATATGAATATGTTGAAAATAAGTTAAAGATCCGTTCTTATAAACTGACCGACCAGTTGAAGTTTTTTAACGATTTGTTCGAATGAGAGTTTAAATGAAAAATTTAATGCATTTATTTGAATTGTTGTGAATGCAATAAATATAGCATAATATATGTATATCAACAAATGCAGCAATAATACACAAATTTATATTAAACACCTAATAATATAGAATAAATATATAAATATTTAAAATAATATTTTATATATTTATAGTGTTTTATATATTTGTTATTTATTTATATGTATAATTTTATATGTATGATTATTTTAAATCTTCTAAAAAAAATTCTTTTATGACTTCCTAAATATATGTATATTTTGCAAAAATATTAACTTTTCTTTCACAATATTATTTTTTAGTACATTAGAATGAGATTAATAAAATAAGACCAGAATGTGTAAATGAATAAAATACGTGTATATAAATTATGGTTTGCGATTTTCTTTTATGTCCATTAAAGAGGAAAGTACATATACGAGAAGATAAAGAAAAATAAATTCACATAGTGAAAATATTCTTAAATTATAAATAAGTATTTTCTATGCGAACTTAATAAGATAATTATAGAAAATAGTAAAAAGTCAAGAAAATATATTATCAGAGATATGTAAGTCACCAATTTAACTACAAGATTAAATTAAATTTCAAAATTTAAATTTTTAAGGCATTAAGAATAACTGTGTAATTTATTAGAAACAATAATATTGAAAAAAATAAACTGAAACTTTTATAAGAATTTGAAAAAATATTTTGTATTAAAGATTTAAAGAATGAAACAAATATATTGTTTTAAAACATAATACGATGGTTAAATAGATGTGTTATTCTCAATTATCATAAAACTTTTGTAATGAAAAGGTAAAGAGAAAATTACAGTGTTTCTCATATAAAAAGCTAGAAGGGTTTAAATTTTGTTTTTCATATAAAAGCAATATCAATTTTTTTATTTTATTAAATTTTTTATTATAGATCTTATATATCATTAGAAGAGAAATTTAAATTTTGCTTACGTTACAATTAAAATAAAAATCCAATAGAAAAATGGAAAAAATGTGAAATAATGTACCTATTTTATACATCATCCAATAACATGCGATCGAAAAAAATAATTCTATATAAAAATCAGACAAAAATAAAAGATACTTTTTTAATTTGCATATAACATAATTTTTTTATAAAATTTCTTCATATATATTTATTTGTATGTTTTAGATATAAAATTCCTTACAAAAACTCTTTAATTATATATTAACGTTTATTAATCTACTAATGATCGTATGAAACAAATTGTTACGTGTAATTGTGGAAACCTATTTCCATGAGATTTATGTATTTCACATGTTATCATTCCGCAAACGTCGTCAGTTCGCGTCTGTCCTTTGAAGAAGTAACAACACAAGTAAGCGATACACTCTCGGTTAAGGTGATTCGGCTCGTGATTCTACAAACAGATAAAATAATGTAAGTCAAATATAAAAATTCAGATATTTCTATGAAATATAATAATATAAAAATAAGTAAAGATTTCGCAATCTTAGAGTTTTCTATTTATAACAATAAAAGATATTTTGTTTAATGTTAAAGCAAACATTTAAATGTGTCTCTGTACGTTTTTTAATTATTATCTTCATTTTTTAGTTGCATATTGCAGATAAGTATATTGAGATATATAAAATATATTTAAATGTAAATTATACGAGCATTATCAATTTTTTATTATATTATACCATATATTAAAAATTAGAGACAGATTAAGTTTTATTTGATTCATTTTTTCGCGAATTGATTTCTATAATAAATATTATTTAATGTATTAAATTAAATATGTAATAAAACATATATTCTAGAAACAGATCGACCAAAGTAAATCAAAATATATCACATTTAAATTTATATTTTGTAATTATATTAATGTAATCATATAAATATAAATGAAAAACTTGCTATATTAGCGTTCTCAATTTGATAATAATATTTTATTTAATGTTTAAGAAAATGTTAAATGTTTTCCTTTTTTTATTGCGGTTATTATCTTTTTTTTCGTATATCTCATATAACATGAAACCATTTACCTGTAAATTGTAACATTGTTTGATTTTTGAAAATTTCAATACGTAATAAAAAAGAAATAAAAATTAAAGACAGATTAAATTTTGTTTTATATATTTTTTTCCGAAAAAGATATATAGATACAATATTTTCTCATATATGTTAAATTAAATATCAGTTTACAATTCTAAAAATCTAAAAATGTTTATACAATGATGAGTGAAAGTAAAATTTGCATTACGTTTTAATTCGCTGATTAAATATACATCGAAAAAATTTCAAATAAGGATAATATCAACATGTTTATTATCGGTTTCCTTAGAGTATAAGAACATGACTTACAAATGACATATAAATCTGATTATAACAACATATTAATAACAAGCATGATAAATTCCAACAAACGAGGCCCAGTTATTAAAAGACATTATTTTATACATATTTTATGCTTAATATTTCAGTATTTCAGAATTAAATATTTATAAAGGCTTTATGATATATCTGTCAGATTCTTATTTTATAAATCGTTTCAATCGCTCGGGAAGTAATTGGATACCCAAAAACAAAAAGAATTGATATATATTATAATTATATTACTTATGTTACGAAATTTATAAAAAACATCTCTTTTTTTTTAAATTTTGAATTAGGATGTGAAGCAATTTAATATTTAATTTCATAAAAAAGGAGTTGTATCAAATTAACGCAGCTCCGGACCTATGTATTACCATTTTCTTTGTTTTTGTATTCCATTTATCAGTTATATTTATAATCTACTTTTATTTACTAGTTTTATTGTATCTTTTTATTTCCAATATTATTCCAGTGTTTCTAAATTAAATATGTATAATATAATTGACTGTTGTTTTAAAATACAGATTAAATTAATCAAGCATTCCATAAAATTAGAATGAAAGAGACTTTATCGAAAAACAGTTATACAGTTATACCAAGTTTTAATAATTTGGTTATATAAAAATAAATATGTTGCAATCATCACTTAGTTAATTATACAGATAATGTTTAGCAAAATGAAATATATGTTTTTTTTTCTCTCTATTATTTCGTTAATATTAATACACATATAATTAAATTTATTTATATTTGTATTAAAAACGGTTTTTAGAAGATAATTGTAGGAAATTGAAAAAAAGTTAATCATCATATTGTGTTTTTAATCATATTGTGAATTACAAATATGGATTGAAAAACAATTGAGTTGCCTAATATAAGTCATTAAAAAGTGGACGTCGATAATATTGTGTTAATATTGAGGAAATTTATTTTTTGAAAACTAAATGATTAGATACACACAATATTTAATTTTCGTTATTATAAACATATATTGTAATAAAGAAATTAAAAATAGAATTTATGTAAAGATATTTTCATTTTTTCACTAAAATCGCCCGTTTTGCATTTATTTACCATACATATTATTATTTTGGATTTCATATTTTTACATAATATGTTATTATTTTACATTATATATTTTAAATTGTTCTCTGCTCTGTTTTTTGTTTCACGCACTCTTATCGAGGAAATTGTTTTTGCAGATACTCTGACTGCAGACGAGACTATAAGCACGATGTTTCTAAAATTGTCATTGAATATTTTATTATATATCTTCGTAATGACAATGGTTTCTTGTTTGAATGATCACAAGTTGATTGGTATAGCATCTCTTCATTATAAATTGAAGATATCACTGATGCCTGGTTACGTGTCTCATGGAGAATCTAATATTACTGTTTATATTCGTGGTCCAACACAAAACATGACTTTACTTACATCAAAACGTATAAATGTAACAACAGTACATTTAATAGCGGACGACAATAAAAAAGTGTATAAACCAAAGCTTTCATATAACCACAATAAGAATAACGTCGTTCTTAATTTTATCGAATTAGTGTATCCTAACATTAGCTTGGAATTCGGATATTATACTCTATCTGTTAAGTTTTTAAACTTTGACACGGAAGAACTTTCGCAAACATGGTACACAAACGAGAAAGAAAATAAAAAGTGAGTATATAATAAAGTATTAAAATTTAGATATTATATACAGGTATATATACAGGGTGTTCATTTCAAACAATTATTTGTTTGCATCAATTAATTGGTCTTATTAGTCCGTGCATAATATTATTAAGCTAAAAGATTACCGAAAATCGAGTATTTTACAAGATATTTTACATTTTATGTTAAAAAATTGTTAATTTCGAATCTTATAAGTCAAAAAGTACTTCAGAACAAAAAATTGTATTATAGTGTTTCGAAAAGCTCTTGAGATGAGCTACAAGAATATGTTACAAAAATAATGTTTTATTTAAAAAATTGAAGATGACCTTCAAACTACTATCCAAGGTCAAGTCTTCCTTACTATCTTACGTTCTCTTTGAAGCAATTTAACTTTTATTTGAATCATTTTTCATTAAAATCATTGATTTGAAAGATATAAACTTAAAAAAATGCGATACTCACAATATACTCATATAGTATATGTATGTACCAATAATTGTTAAAAGTTTGTCATTAAAATGTTTCAGGTTTATCGCAACGTTGTTCCAGTTTGCAAAAAAACGACCATTATTTCCATGTTTTAACACATTTGAATTTGTCACCTTTAACATCTCAGTAGAACATGACAGACGATACACAGTTTTATCGAATATGCCGATAAAAAATCAATTTATATCTAATGACGTGATGCTAACGCATTTTCACTCGTATCCTGCGACACATATTTACGATGTAGCATTAATTCTGATGTCGCCTAATATGACACCTTCAAATCCCATCGAATATGATACTTATCTCGCTTCTTCTTCGAAAATAAAGATCAATACGTGGAGCAGATCGCATTTGGTACCACACATGAAATTTGCGCAACATGTTCTCGGAAATGTGACCATGTATTTAGATGACAATTGGAATATTATGAGGAAAGGCCCTAAAGTGGATTATGTCGTTATTCCAAATTTCGAGGGCAATATCAAGCAGCCTTGGGGATTGCTACTTTACAAGTAATACAAACATTTAATATTTAAAAATCATAATTATAACTTATTAAAATATATTTTATTATCAATTTTTAAAACTAAAAAATTTAAGACATGCATTTTATACGATTAAAAGTTAAAAATTAAAGAGAAATTTAATGAAACAGATAATTATGCATAATTTATCGGAGATTTATGTACATAAATTATTTTAACATTTAGAAAGAATTTAATAGTCAGAAATATATGTACATTGGTGTCTAAAGTAATTTCCATAAGTGATTTAAATGACAATATAAATAATTAAAATTATGGAATAACTACATTTATTTTTATCATATATGTAATAATTACATTTATTTATTTACAAATTAAAAAATTAATTTATCATTAATTGAATTATTATATACAACTTTAAATTTTAATGTTGAACACATGATTATCTTTTTCATTAAACGTATTATTATTTATGAGCATAATATCTATATTTTTTGTATTAATCATTTTAAAAGATTAGTTTTATCACATCGAGAAAATAATATGATGAAAATAAAATATTTCCTCATTATATTTTTGAAAAGGAGAGATGAAGGATACCTAAAGTTAAATAAAATAGATATATGTATAACGTAATACATTGTTAATAAAAAATTTAATTTTTCATTATTAAAATGTGTAACTAATTTATTTATATATATTATACGTGTTTATATAATTCATTTATTCATTATTAAAATACTCTTTGCTTAATAGAATAAATAATCTTAAATCTAGAAAATATTTAAAATTAACTTGTATTATTATATATGTATGTTACATATTTAGGTTTAACCAGATGTGCAAAATGGATGTCTAAATCCATTTAAAATAGAAAATACCAAATAGTTGAAAATTTGTTATTTAAAAATGCAAAATGCAAAAAACAAATTGTTTTTTAGACACTTATCTAAAATAGGAAATAAAAAATAAGCATTTTTTAAATAATTTTTAAAAATAAATATGATTTTTTAAATATTTATATACATATAAATTCTTATATTTATTATTTATTTTATACGATTATTACGTATATTTAAATTTTTATTTTTTATCAAATATTTATTTTTTAAACTTATTGCATGAGCTTTCTGTGTAAACTTTCTTCTATAAACTCATTAAATTTTTATAAATTTTATATATTTTTGCTATAAACAAAAAATAAAACATTGCATAAAGTTATAGGGAATTGCAAAAAATGTTTATTGATTACATTTGCTTAATGACTTCATTAATAACATTTTGATTGTTTTACATATACATATATTATTATATATCTCGATTAATTTTTAGTTTCTAAAAATCTGCGTTGTTGTATTTTAGATAAAAAATACAAAATATGCATTTTACATTATATATTTATTCATTTTAAATACATTTATTTCAAAAATTTAGACGCATATCTAGAAAATTAACCTGGTTTTAACACAAGTTAAAACATAGAGTATGGACATAATCCTGTTATACATCCTGTTACACTTTTCAGTGAAACATATCTTCTCTACAGTGAAGAATTATATTCTGCTGCGTATAAAGGTACAATAATGCGCTCAATAGTTCATGATATAATATACCAATGGTTTGAGGATTTCTTCTATCCGCCTTGGTATAATTACAGAGGGTTACACGAGGGCTTCATTAAGTTCGTCGAAGCATATATCATTGATAAGGTTGCTATATTATTATTACAAATTTATTATAATTTATTATTATGAAATATATTTATATACATATTACGTGTAAATTCATAATTATTATACAATTACATAATATTATATTATATGTACATAAAAATATAAAAATTTTTTAGAAATAACAAATAATTATCATATATATCAGTGCGTATTGTAATGCAAGTATTGATAATGGAAGCTTATTTTTTTGTTTGTAGGTTTTTCCAAACTCTCGAATGATGGACTTGTTTATAATTCAAGATCTGTATGAATATCATTATATGGATATACTCACTTCTTCTTATAATTATTCAGAAGATGTTATGACATATAATGATATATTTAAAATTAATTTACTTTCTATTCGTCAACATATTAAAGGTACGTATGCATATCTCTGAATTATATAATATGATTATTTAAAAAAATATATCTAATTATATAAATATTTGTAAATATAATATAATTATAAACATATTATATAGTATAATTATATAGTATAATTTCAAATTATAAATATCTAGGAACAGATCAATTAATTATAATTTTACGTTTATTTTTTCTTATTTTAATTAAGCTGTTAAAGAAAAAAATTTAGTAAAAAATAAAACGAGAGAAGACACTTCCGATGATCTTGAACTTGACATATGATGATTCTGAATATTTAAAAGGTTTTAGCCGCCTAGCTGTCATTATTCATTAAAAAGTTATTAACAAATAAAATAGACAATATAAATATGTGTTTAACTTTATACTTTTGAACATAATCTGGCGTAAAATCAATATTATTTGCATATTTACGTTTATATTTATATATTATAAATGTTGTTGTTCATCATCTCTTAACAACATATTGACATCAATATCAAAATCAAAGAGAAGTGGTCATCTCCTCATCTTCATTTTTACTTGACATTGTATTTTAAAGTTATATATTTAACTATACGTATATATTTTAATTATTATATGTATATATTTTTTAATCTATTTTTTAATATACATATACGTATATTTAATTATACATATATTTATATACTATATAATTATATAATTTATATTACTATAATAGGACCCATTATATGGCGCATGTTAGCAAGTGTAATACCACATGATGTGTTTTGGGAGAGTATTTACATATTTTTAAACACGTAAGTAACAAACACATTGTAATAGATGTATAATACTGTATCATAATGAAGATTTTGGACAATGTTGTGTTTTGTCCATTAATTAATGGATCCATTTTTTTAACCAAATGGTTTAAGAAAATCTGTATATAAATTTTATTTGTGCGTTTTGTTTATTTTTGAAATATTGTTCCATTTCGAATAATTCGCGAATATAGATTTTTCAAGGAAGTTTTATTGATTGACTATATTTAAGGTAACTTACTTCAAATTAAGCTGGAATTAATTTATAATTTATAACTTTAAATTTTAAATTAGTTTTAAAGAAATGCTGATTCGATCTGTTTTATCGATAAAACGCAAGGATGGATTCGACAATGAATCCTTTTATTGGCTATACAGATTGAAAAATGTTTTCCACATTTAAAACAGTAAATATTAATATGCGAGGAGCGCTATAATTATTGATAAAAACAAAAAGAAGTTCAAACATAACATTTTTGTATTGGCCTTTTTTTAACGTTTTTTTTTTACATTAAATTATATTATTCATAGTTCGTTTTATTATTACTTTAATTGTAGAAAAGGGATTTTTAAAAATCTGTATGACCAATGAAAGATTCATATGTAATCGAATTCAATTTCAAATTTGACGATAAAACAGAAAGAGTCAGCGTTCCTTTAAGATTATAAAGTTGGATAAAAGAAGGAAAGTGATCTTAGTCGTTAATTAAAACTTGTTCTATTCAAAAAATAATTTCTTTTATATAAACGTGTTGGTTTCTCTTTTCGAACATCTATTGAATTAAAATATTAAAATTTGAAATTTGATTTTTAGTGTGCATTGAATTGTCACTTTCACTATGATCAGTGACAAATAATGTTATTATATCATATTTTTTCAATAGCGATAATTACTCAAAGTTTAAATAATTTTTTTATTTCTGTAAACCTAAAAAGAATATTTTTTTCACAGTTGTTATTAAATCAATACCAAAAATAATACCTTCAAACTACAATTGTAATTAAAACGATAATTATGATTTTGTATCTTCAGAATTTTGGATCAATTATATTATATATTTGTAATATTTTTTCTACAACGTTAGATACAGTTTGAAGTCCTTCAATTCGAGACTTCCCGATGATCTGTGGAATATTATGCAGATTCTCATAGATAGATCAGAATTTAAGAATCACAACATAAACGTAAAACAAATGATGAATGTTTGGACTGAACAGCAGTATTGTTTTGTGCTAAATGCGACACGAAATTATAATGGACTTATTGTTAGTGCGATAATATCGACGAACAAAACACAATCTTTCGATCACACAATCTATTTTATACCCATCACCTATACTACGGAAAGAAACATCAATTTTGACATAAAACCGCTATCTATTAATGATTATTTAACGGATTTAGATTCCCAGATTCTGTTACCCATTGGATATAGAGGTTATTGGTTTATTGTCAATAAACAACAAACTGGTAAATATTCTAAGTATATTTATTAGTATACTTATTATATATAGTATACTTATTATTTTAGTATACTTACTAATTATTTACATATTTTTTTAAAAGTAAGATTAAATTTTTATATCTATATTTTCTATTATTATATAAAAAAATATTTGTCGATAAAACAGAGTGAGTTAACATCTCTTAATATCCACATTTTTTTATATAAAACATCTATATTATTAAATATTTGAATTTTAAAATATCTTTTGTAAATATTAAAATTATATTTTATACATTACATATAATAATATTCTTATAAAATATTCTTCAAATATTACCATTAAATTTATACAATTTCAAACACGACGTACGTTGCTTCATTCTTTTGAGCTTATTCTTTATTTAAATTGATAATCTAAAATAATTTTATAATTGATCATATTAGTAAGATATTTCCATTTTTTTTATTATAATATACATATGTATACATATTTTTATTTTAAAGGGGGAAACCTGGTTTAGGAAGCTGAAAAATACATAACTTTTTGGAATTTCTTTTTCAGCTAAAATAAAATCAATCAATTCCAAATTTTAGGAACATTTTATTATACATATAAATTATGTAAAATAATTTTTTTATTAAAAATATAATATTAAAGTTTTATTTAAAAAAATAAAGCTATATATTGATAGTGCTCATTTTTCACTGTGTACAATCTAGCAATCGTAATTTTTGTTTAAAACAAGTTTTAAATAAAGTTTTATTTAAAAAATTTTATTTAAAAAATAAAGCTATATATTGATAGTGCTCATTTTTCACTGTGTACAATCTAGCAATCGTAATTTTTGTTTAAAACAAAAGAATCAATTCATTTCTTTAATGTTATATTGTTACCTTCTAGTTGAACTAAAATATTTTTGAGAAAAGTTAAATTAGATTATTTTTTTAAAAAAAGTCGCAATTTTTTTCGTGAAAGTTGTAACTTTTTTTAAAGTTGTAAAAGTTTTCCAATTTTTGCTTTTCTTTTAATTTTTTTAGTTTAAATAGAAGGTAATAATATGACATTAAAGAAATAAATTGGTTTTCTTGTTTTAGACCAAAATTACGATCGCTAAGTTGTACGCGGTGAAAAATGGGCGCTATCAATACACACAGCTTAATTTTTTAAATAAAACTTCAATATTTTTTAATAAAAAAATTATTTTAGATAATTTAAATGTATAATAAAATGTGCTTAAAATTTGAAGAATTGATTAGTTTTATTTTAGTTGAGAAAAAATTCTAAAAATTATGTATTTTTCAGCTTCCTAAACCGGATTCTCCCCTTAATACATTTTAGCATTTTTATTAAAATAAAGAAAATAAAATATAATGAACAATTTTTTATTATATTTATTAAAAAAAAATAACCAATAAAATTCATTTGTTGAATAATAGGATACTATCGCGTCAACTATGACCCGGAGAATTGGCAAACAATTGCACGTTATTTAAAGTTGGAAAACTATGCTAATATACATGTTCTCAACCGAGCACAAATTATCGATGACGCATTTTATTTTATGCTGGAGAAAAAACTGAATTCTTCTATATTCTGGGATCTTGCGAGCTATTTACCAAGAAGAGAGAAAGATTACATAGCATGGTACCCTATGATCAAAGCTTTTGAATACTTGTCATACTCTTTTGCACTTAGGAAGGCACAGGGCTACGGATTGCCTGAAGTACTACAGGTATTTTACAAATTGTAGCGATAAAATCGTATGAAATATATTGGAGATCAAAATAAACATGCATACAATTTTGTATCATAATTTTGATTCTAAAAAAAATTGGTATAGTAGATAGTTAAAGAAAAATTTAATTATGTGCTAATTATATGTGATAAAGTTTTAATGATATGCTAATTGTTCGGTAACAATAATGACGTCTCTATAATAAAATCAGTAACTTTTTATATTTTTTTAAATCGTTACAAACAAATTCAGCTTTTATTTTTACAGTTTTTGTATGAATCTACATGGCACATTTTTTTATACTAACAAACGTAAATATTATTGAATTTTTCTACCAGCTTTTAATCGCAATAATATCTTACAAATTTTAGTTTAAATGAGATCATGTGTTGTAAATTTTGTTTTTACTTATCTTTTGTTTCTCTTATAAACTTTTACTTTAAAAACAAATTTTCACTTAATTTAAATTATAATTCAACATATATTCAAATTTCGAAATAAGTAAAATTAAAAGTATAACAATAAGCGATTTTTAATTTGTTAAAAAAGGAATTAAAAGAATTAGTTAAAACATAATTTATTCGTTATAAATATACGTGTTATAAATATTTGTTTTAAATATAATTTATTAATTCGGTGCTTATTGTAATCACCGAGTCATACGATTAATATATAATAAGTTTGATAAATAAAAATGTGTATTTTCTCGCACTTACATATATTACATTTGCCTTTGTATAGAATCTAATAATCAAATAAAAAAGATGTTAGAAAACAGCACATAAAAAGAGCATATATGTATACATTTCTATAGTAAGCAAAATGCGCGCAAAATGTTAACAGATTAGCAATAGATTTACATGTTGCTAGCAAATTGGCATTCGTTATGTGTGCATTAGGATAATGATTTATTAGCAGAACCTGCTCACAGAATCTGATGGCACACTGATGTCAGAAACCGAGAAAAATCTTGAGGTCAAATTGTGTGCGCGCAGATCCTGCTCAGTTTCTGCTGACAATCTGATCTAAAGTCATGTTCGATTCTGTCGTCAACCTGTTGTCAAATTCTGTGAATATAATTCTGCTCGATTTTTGACATCAATTTGTTGATTACACTAGTAATAATTACTTCTGCAACAAATCTGTAATCTTTTTCATGACAACATTTGACATCAAACACTTGGCATGATCTGATATCGACAGAAATGTTACGAGGCTTTATATCAAATGAGACCTGCCGAAGACGATTTTAATAAATATTTAAAACTGGACCTCACAAAATGGGGATGTGTTTTCAATAATTATTTGTGCATACAAATGGCCAGAGATAAATTGGAATTGTATGTATTAAATCGTACATTAAATAAGTAAGTATTTTTTAATATTAATTATTTCTGTGCAAATATTTTCTTATATCTATTCAGCAATATAGTTTATATGTAGAAAATAATACAAATTAAATATAAATATATGCATATTATTATTCTATATAACATATGCCACACACACATGTGTTTTTTGTTAACTTAATTTAATAATTTTTGTATGCATATACAGGAAAAGAAATAAAAAGAATAAAATAAAAAATAGCTACAAAAATTTTTACATTTTTTAAAATAAAGTAAATGTTGAAAAAATAAAAAGTTATTTCTATATTTTCTGTGTAAGTTATCTATATAAAATTTATATGTATAATCATATTTTATATATATATATATATATATATATATATATATATGTATTACATACATAACTTTTCATATTTTCTTAATATATTTAATTACAAAAATAGGCACAATTAAAAATGGAAATATATAAAAGAAATAAAAAAATTATAATGTAAAATACAAAAAAAAAAAAATAAATAAAAATAAAAAAAAATTTCTAAAAAAAATCAAAAGATAATTTTTTTATTTATAATTATTTTATAACTATTCTTTTTTTATTGTTGTCATACGTACAAACAGAGATTATACAAAAAATTTGTGGACACATTTTATATAACAGAGATTTATAAAAACATTTGTGGATATATATTTATATTTATTTATACATAAAATGAATTTTTACTATAAAAATGCTATATGTTAAATATCTATATGTCATTAAAAACTAGACATTAATTTTTTATTAATTATAGAATTTCGACTGGATGGGAGGAATGGACATATTGTAATGGTTTAAAGACAGCGAACGAAAGTATGTGGTATACCGTATATTTGATGGCATCTAGTACGTTCCAAGAAAAGTCTGATTATAAAATATTCAAATGCCTTGGTTGTTCTGAGAATCCTAATATTGTCGTAAAATATCTGTGGTTTGTATTACCGGACATTAAATATGAAATGTTGGAAAAGAATGATTACAAGATGCTTACACAGAAAAATATGAAAAATAAGAAGAAAATTAATTCTTTAATTAATAATATGTTTCTTTCTACTCTTGCGAGACATACTAAAAACTCTCAAGTACTTCCAGCAATACTAACGTCTTATAAAAAATATTACAAAAAGAGGTAACAATTTCCATATTATAAATATATGTTGTTTATAATCAGGAGGGCTTATTATGTATACGTTTATATTATAATATATCTATACATATACTATTTTTTTAGTCCAGTCCATATGATAAAGGCATTAAACGTGCTTATAAATAATGTGTATACTCATAAAGATTTATTTGAGAAGGTAAATTTTATACTTTTCTTTTATACATTTTTTTACAAAATTTCTATTTAATAAAAAAATTAAAAATAAAATAATATTTATTTCAGGTACTTCAATTTCTAATAGATAATATAAAATACTCTCCTCGTTATGATCAATATTACCAAAAATTACTTGCCAAGATAAATACACGTTCTAGACAATTGCGACACCAGGTGCAATTTTCTAACAATTTACTCGAGTAAGAATTTAAATGAGAAACTCAATTCGTCTAATTGAATTGGTGTAAGTGTAATTACAACATGTATATTATAACTGCAATACTATAGTACACATTTTTTAATTTAATCTCCAATATAATATAGCATAAGTATTTAAAAAAATTTATATATATATATATATTGATGTTATATTTCTTATATAATTTTTGTACATTGGTTATATCTATAACGATTTATATATGTTAAATATTAATATATTAAAAAATATAAGTTATAAAATTTAATATATACTATGTATATAAACATATGAACAATAGAATATGAACAATAATATTTGACTTATTATTATTTGCGTAGTACATTTATGAAGTATATACTAATATTAATATTTAATATTAATATTATATCATTTTATTGTTTTAAATTTTAATGTTTATAATAATTAGTGCTTTATTATTAATATCTTTATAACATTTGTACATAATTTTCAATTTTTTGTAAAAAAAATAAGTTTTAATAATGAAATTTAGTGTAATATATAATAAACTCCAAAATGCCGAGTGCCAAAAATATACAATTTTATGTTAAAAATTGAATTTCTTATTTATGTTATAATTTTTTAATGATTGGAGAAAATAAATAAAATCAAATCAAAATGAATAAAATATTTGCATGTTAATGACGATCAGGTATTTCTATCTTTAAGAAGAAGGTAATACGAGAAGATAAAACAAAATATTCTTTGACCATATTGTATTGAATATATTGTATTTTTTAATTATAACTGAGCAATTACTGTGTAAAAAATTTGACTTAAAATTTTCGCGCTCTTTTATTATAACAATTTTTCATATTTTCACGGTTGTCTATAATTTATTTATTAATGTTTTCGTAATTTTCCACAAATAATAGTAATAATAAAAGTAAAAAGTATTAAAAGAAAGAAGAAAGAAAAATATTGTTAAATATTATTAAGTCTTGGCTCTAGATGTACCAGCTAATCTATAAAGAAAAATGAAGTAAGGAAAGAAATATGTATATAAAATGTAAATAAAGTAATATATGTATATAAATTCGGCAAAATAAAAAAATAATAATCCTATGATATGATGTACCTATTTATCATTCACTAAGTTGCAACAAAAAAGAAATAATTCCATATAAAAATCAGATAAGAATAAAAGATATACTATATTTCTGTTTACATATAACATGCAATTTTCTGATTAAGTTTCTTTAAAATTATATATGTAATAGTTACAAAATCTCTTCCGACACTCTTTTATTTTGTATTGATATTTGTTAATTTAGTCGATCGAATAAGACAAATTGATATGTATAATCTTAGAAAGCTATTTATATGAAATTTATGTATTTCACATGTTATCATTCCGCGAACGTCGTCAGTTCGCGTCTGTCCTTTGAAGAAGTAACAACACAAGTGATACACTCTCGGTTAAGGTGATTCGGCTCGTGATTCTACAAACCGATAAAGCAATGTAAGTCAATACAAAAATTCAGATATTTTTAATAAATATAATAATATAAAAATAAGTAAAGATTTCGCAATCTTAGAGTTCTCCATTTTTAATATTAAGGGATATTTCATTTAATGTTAAAGCAAACATTGAAATGTGTCCACTTATGTTTTTCAATTTTTTTCATATTGGAGATAATATAAAAATATTTAAATGCAAAATTATAATAGCATTTTTCATTTTTTATGATATTATCACATAATAAATTAAAAATTAACGTCAGATTAAGCCTTGTTTGATACATTTTTTTCGCGAATTAATATCTATATAATCAATATTTTCTAAATTGTTAAATTAAATATAACATACATACTGTGATAAGACATACATTCTCGAAATGGATATATTAAAATAAATCCAAATATTAACCATTTAGATTTACGTTTTAAATATAATTATATAAAAATTAATGAAAAATTCGCTATATTAGCGTTTTCAATTTGTATTTTAATTATTATATTATAATTAAATGTTAAAATGTTTTTCTTTTTTTCTTTCAATTATTATCTTTTTTTCATATATTGCATATAACATGAAAATATTTAAATGCAAATTGTAACATCTTTTAATTTTTAAAAATTTTAATACGTCATAAAAAAACGAAAATTAAGGACACATTAAGCTTTGTTTAATACATTCTCGAAAAGATATCTGAAAGCAATGTTTTCTCATATGTTAAATTAAATATGCAATAAAGTAAAAAAATATTAACGCAATGAATATCAATTTACTTTCTTAGAAAAATGTTTTACAATGTTAAGTAAAAATAAAAAATTTGCATTACGTTTCGGTTTGCTGATAAAACTTACTTCGACAAAATTTTAAATAAACATAATATGAACATGTTTATTATTCGTTTCTTTAGAGTATAAGTACATGACTTATAAATGACATATAAATCTGGTAATATTAAATTAGTATCAATTAGTATAAATTCCAACGAACAAAGCCCAGTCATTAAAATATATAATTTTATACACATTTTATATCTCAGAAGTCAATATTTATAAAACTTTATATGATATATCTCTGAAGTAAACTTAATTATATTTATATATAATTGCTTGAAAAATGTGATTAATCGCTCGGGAAATGGTTGGATACCCAAAAACAAAATAAAAAGTTGATATATATGTTATATTAGATTGTAAAGCAATTATTAATATAATAAGAAAAGAAGGATATTTTGTAAAGCGCCAATAAATATAATCACAAGGATAAAACTCTTTGAAAAAATTTTTTAGACAACAACTGGGCAAAATGTTAATTTATTAAATCATTAAATCTTCCTCATAACGTTTCGACCTTTGGTTCAAGTCCTTATCAAATGAACACTGTAATAATAATTTCACAATTTAAATGATACAATAAACCATAATAAAAACGAATTAATAAAACTTCCACAATTTATCGTAGCTTAATAGACGTAAACGAAAAGGTAATACACGACATAAAAAATAAATTAATTAATTAAAATAAATTAGAAAAGAAAAATTAATAAAAATTACATTACAGTACAAATAAAAATAAAATCAAGAATAAAAATACAATTAATGTACCGATTAAAATAACTTAAATAAATTACAGGATAAAAAATAAAATACAATAAAGATATAAATATATTATTAATTTACAATAGTAATTAAATTAAGGAAACAATTAACTCAAAGAACATAGACAAACCACACAGAAAAATGTGTAAAAAGTATATATGCGAAAACTTACATAGTCAAATGTTGAAATGTAAGATTTTTTGATGTCAATATAATAAAATATGTATAATAGTCATCACTATAAAATGTAAGTGTGAAAAACACATGTGTCTACTAAGACGTTTACTAAACAGTCGCTAACTAAACTCTCACTCATCATCAAGTTAATCAGATAATGTTTAGCAAAATGGAATATATGTATTTTCTTTTTCTATTTTAATTTTTCAATGTATTAATCCTGAAGTAATCACACGCGTTTGTGAATCAGATTATTTATAGACAAATCCTATATTAATTAGCACTTAATTACATCTATTTATTATTAATACAAACAATTAAATCTGTTTGTGTGTACGCGTTTGAAACATTTTTTTTAGAATATAATTGCAGAAAGTTGAAGAAAAATTAATATCATTAATAAGTTTTCAATAATATTGTGAGTAGCAAATATTAATTGAAAACAATGGAGAAACGTAATTATTATAAATTGTTCTCTGATTCAATTTTCTTCTACTTATTCTTATCAAGGAAATGTTATTGCAGATATCTGAGATGAGACTAAGCACGATGTTTTTAGAATTGTCAATGAAAATTTTATTATACATCCTTGTAATGACAATGGCTTTTTCTATCAAAAAAGAAGTGAAATATGTGCGGCATAGTGAGGATTTTTCGTTTAACGTTCTGACACCGTTACATCATGAATTGCATCTATCACTAAAGCCGGGTCATGTGACCCATGGAAAATCCATAATTAATTTTAACATTCATACACCAACACGATACATAAGTTTATTTACATCAAATTATATAATTATAAACATAGTATATTTAATATCAAACGATAATGACAATATCTATAAACCATTTATTTACAATATCGTTATAAGGGATAATGTCGTTCTTGATTTTTACCAATCCTTTACCTATCCTGAAACTAAGTTGAATGTCGGATCATATACCTTACAAGTTTATTTTTCAATCTCTGAGACTGACGTACTTTGGCGAACTTGGAACACAGACGAAGAAGAAAATAACAAGTGAGTATATAATAAAGTATGTTAAAAAAATTGCTATTATATACATGTATATACAGGGTGTCTCATTTTTAACAATTATCTGTTTTGAATCCACCAATTAATTGGTCTAATTATACCGTGCATTAAAATAAAAGATTATTGAAAACAAAATATTTTACATTTTAAGTAAAAAAATTGTTAACATCAAATCTTGTCTCAAACTCAAAAAGTACTTAAGAGAAAAATATTTTATTATAATATTTTAGAAAACACTTGAGGTGAGCTAGAAGAATATGAAACTAAAAATAATAGACTCCATTTAAAAAATTGAAGATAACCTTCACGTGTCCTCCAAAAGACTCCCCAAGGTCAAATCATTTCTACTATCTTACGTCCCCTTTGAAGCCATTTAAATCTTATTTGAACCATTTATTAATAAAATCATTGGTTTGCAAAATATAACACTGTAAACTTTTAATTGCGATACTCACATATAAAATATATTTATTTACCAATAATTGTCAACAATTTGTCATTAAAATGTTACAGGTTTATCGCAACATTGTTCCAGTCCTCAGACATTCTGCCAGTTCTATTTCCATGTTTTCAAACATATGAATTCGTCACCCTTAGCATCACAGTTGAACATGATAAACGATACAGAGTTTTATCGAATATGCCGATAAAAACTCAAAGTATATCTAATGACACGATGCTTACGCTTTTCGACAACTTTCCTCATACATATATTTACGAAGTAACATTAATTCTAATGGCATCTGATATGACACCTTCATATCCCATCGGATATGATTCTTATCTCAGTCCTTATTCGATAATAACGATTTACACGTGGAGCAAGTCAAATTTGGTACCACGCATGAAATTTGCGCAACATATTCTCGGAAATGTAACCAAGTATTTAGATGACAATTGGAATATTACGAGGAGAAACCCTAAGATAGATTGCGTTGTTATTCCGAATTTCGAGGACAATATCACGCAGACTTGGGGATTGCAACTTACAAGTAATACATAAATTTAAGATTTAAAAATCATAATTGTAATTTATTAAAATATATTTTATTATCTGCTTTTAAAACTAAAAAAATTTAAGACATGCGTTTTATATGGTTATTGTGAGAAATTAAAGAGAGAATTTAATGAAACAGATAATTATACATTATTTATCGGAGATTTATGTACACATAAATTATTTTAACATTTTAGAAAGAATTTAATAGACATAAATATATGTATATTCGTGCCTAAAGTAATTTTCATAAGTGATTTAAATGACAATATAAATAATATATGTGTAATTAATATACATAGGTTTAATCAACAATGTGCAAAATGAATGTCTAAATCTATTAAAAGTAGAAAATGCAAAATAATTCGATGCTTTTGATTTAAAAATGCAAAATGCAAAATACAATATGTTTTCAGGTACCCATCTAAAATAGGAAATGGAAAATAGGCATATTTTAAATGAGTTTTTAAAATAATAAGTTTTTTCAAATATTTACCTATATATAATTTTTATTTTTTTTATATTATATTTCTTACAGTTAATATTTATATTAAATTTTTTTTTTATTAAATTTTATAAATTTTATAAATTTTCTTATAATTTTTCTTTATAAATTTTTTTCTATAAGTTCTTTAATCTTTTACACACACACCTTTCAAACTTTATAACTTAAAAAGTACCTTATAAAAAATTATTTAATTACAGTGTTTTGAAAAGCTCTCGAGGTAAGCTACACAAATATGTAATAAAAAATGTAGGATTTCCTTTAAGAAATTCAAGGTGCCCTTATTCTGACCTTGACAACGCCGTCCAAGGTCAAACTGATAAGATCAATAAATAGATTTTTTTTAAATAATAGATAATAGAAAAATAAATAATAGATTTTTATTTTCCATTTCCTATTTTAGATGGGTACCTGAAAACATATTACATTTTGCATTTTGCATTTTATATATATATATATAGTATGAACAAAACATAAAAATGACATAAAGTTACATGGAATTGCAAAAAAATGTATATTATTTGCATTTACTTAATGAGTACTTTGATAACATTTTATTTGTTTTATATACATATTTTGTTTTACATACATATTATTACATATCTCGAATTATTTTTACTTTTTTGCGAAAAAAACCTGAATTTGAAATAAAAATGAATATTATAATTTATTTAAATGTAAATGTAAAATAGTTTCTTTAAATCTGTATTTTTGTATTTCAAATACAAAACACGCATTTTATATTTTATATTGAACCATTTTGAATGCATTTATTTCAAAAATTTAAATGCATATCTCTGATTTTAATGCATATTAAAAATGCTTATATATAACAAATAATATTGATATAATCTTCTTATAAACAATTTTCAGTGAAGCACATATTACCTACATTGAAAAATTATATCATGCCTATAAAGGTAAGGCAATGCGCTCAATAGCTCATGATATAATATATCAATGGTTCGATGGTTTCTTCTATTCTTGGTATAATAACCAGTTGTTAAACGAGGGTTTCATTAAGTTCAACGAAGCACATATCATTGGAAAGGTTACTATATTATTATTATAAATTTATTATAAATTATTATTATAAATTTGTACATATTTATAAGATATTTTTGTTGGTATTGTGTGCTAACATGAAAAAGTTTGAAATTATGTCCCGCCTATTCGTTATGTATAGAAGAAATACTAAAAAATATCAAATATTTTATTTATATATTTCTTATAATATTTTAATAATTTAAAAAGAGACATTATGTAAAACAGATAACAAGTATATTGTATATTGTATATTACAATTTGCAAAAACCTTGCAAGTTTATTTTTTCAATAATTCGAGTAACATTTTTATATTTCAAATATACTTACACATTACGTATAAATTCACAATTACTCTAAAATTACATAATATTATATTATAAAAAATATAAAAACTTTCTTTAGAAATAACGAATAATTTATATATCTGTGTGTATTGTAATACAAGTATTGTTAATGCAAGCTTTTTTTGTTTGTAGGTTTTTCCAAACACTCGAATGATGGACTTGTTCATAATTCAAGATCAGCATGAATATCGTTATATGGACGTACGCTTTCCTATTAATATTTATGCAATATTTACATCAAACAGATTTAAAATTAAGTCATTTTCTATTCGTCAACGTATTATAGGTACGTATGTATGTATGTGACTGAATAATATTTGATTATTTAAGAAAATATTATAATGAGTGATTTAATAATATATATAATCAGTTCCGGCTCCTCTTAAACTTAATAAATAATTAAATCTCACAATAACTTGGCTATGAGAGCTTGCGAGCTTTTCAACCCAGTGGGGAATAAATGTCCATTCGACGTGAAATTGAATTGAGCATATTATAATTTGGAGTGAAACTATATTCCACGTTCTGAACGTCATTAATGAAATCCGTCTATATAATTGTCAAACCGGTTTATGCGCTGATGAAGGCTGAAAGAAAGAGTTGAAACGTTCGCAATGTACATATAAGTATTAACATCTTCCTACGTAAGTTATTTTTAATAATATCAAATTTATTTACTCAAGTATATTTACGTTTTATTAACCGCGCCCAAGGTTCTCATAGCCAACTCATTGTGAAATTTAATTAATTATTTAGAAATATAACTTTATATATATATATATATATATTTGCAAATAATTTAAATATATATTAAGAAAATTAATAACATAAGTATCTAAGAAGAGATAAATTAATTATAATTTTGCATTTATTTATTCTTACATTCAATTAAGCTGTAAAAGAAAAAATTTGTTAAAAGTAAAGTGAGAGTACGCACTTCCGATGTTTTTGATCTTGACATTATATATTGCACATATGTATTTTTTAATACATATAACTTTTTATATAATACATTTATTTAATGTATATATATATATATATATATATATATATATATAATTTTTATGTATATATTTATTTATACATATTTATATATAATTATACAATTTATATTACTGTAATAGGACCCATTGCATGGCGCATGTTAGAAAGTGTAATGCCCAATAATTCGTTATGGGAGAGTATCAACTCATATCTAAAAACAGAGTAAGTGACAAACCTATTTTAATATATATGTATAATATACTTTATTATAATGAAGATATTGGACAATGTTGCGTTTCGTCAATTATTTTATTGATCCAGTTTTTTTAATCAAATTGTTTAAGAAATTTATCCGGAATTTAAATTTTGTTTGTACTTTTGTTTATTTTTAAAATATTTTGATTTGAATAATTCGCGAATATATATTTTTCATCAAGGAAGTTTTATTGATTAACTATATATTTACTTACTTCAAGTTGAGCTGGAATTAATCTATAATTTACAATAAGATTTTTATTTAGTTTTAAGCAAATGCCTAATCTTTCTGTTTTATCGATAACGCAAAGTTGAATTCGGCCAAATGAATCTTTTTATTGGTTATGCAGATTCAAAAATATTTTCCACAATTCAATTATTAAATATTAGGGTAAAAGTGCCTATTATAAGACATAGGTTCTCAATATGAGATAGCGACACCGCGTCTTACAATAAGTTTAAGAAACCGACGGTTATACATTGCAATAATGTGGGGGCAATACACTTAGCTAAAAACATAATTACTAGCCAAAGGTCTAAACACATAGACATATATAAAGCACCACTTTGTTAGAGATCACGTAAATAAGAGCAATGTAGAAATATATATATATATATATATATATATATGTAGTAAGTCAATGCCAGCAGACATATTGATGAAATCTTTGACTAAATTAAAGTATAATTCTTGCGTTAAATTTTTTGGTTTAAAATAAGTTATTTAAATTGTTCCTCATATTATTAAAGTTTTTTTAGAAATAAGTATAACGGATTTTTATTTTGTTTTTTTTGTTATATTCATGTGGGGGTGTTAGAGATTGTGAATATGACAATGTTATTTGGTTTGTTCGCGTCGCATGCCCCAACTTGCTCCTTTTTACTTCAATGCGCTCGTATTGGTCCAATTCGAGGAGCGCACCAATACAAGCGCATTGGAGTAAGAAGGAGTAAGTTGGAGCATGCGACGCGAACAAACCTTGCGTGTTAAAAAAATATATATGTAATACACCCATTGCGCGCGCACTCTCGCACTATGGTATAGACGGCCGAGATGTGCATTGTATTTCTTTGTCGAATATTAAAACAGTTTTTCGGTAAAATCTGTCTTTTACTCTGCTAAATCCTACAAAAGGTTATATAAGAATAAAGAACGCATCTATTTAAACATTGTATTATATTTTGAAACAATATTTTTTTTTATTTTTCTTTTAAATCTTTAATACGAAATATTTTTCCTAATTTTAATAAAAGTTTCATTAAATTTTTTTTTAATTATTGTTCTATTAATTTACACAGTTTATCATACACAGTTCAATAATAAATTCATTCTCTGATGTTATATATTGACTTTTTACTACTTCCTACAAATATTAAATTAAGTGCGCATAGAAAATACTTATTTATAATTTAAAAATATTTTCAAAATGTGAATTTCTTTTTCTTTGTCTTCTCGTATTTACCTTTCTTTGTAATGGAGATACAATAATCACAAACCATAATTTATGTACAGGTATTTTATTTATTGACATTTTCTGATTTTATTTTATTTATCTCATTCAATTATTAAAAAATTATAACGTGAAAGAGAAGTTAATATTTTTACATAATATTGTACATATTATTTAGAAAATTACAGAAGAATTTTTAGAAGATACGAAATAATCATATATGTAAAAAATTATATAAATAAATAACAATATAAAGCACTATAAATACATAAAATATTATTTTAAATATTTAAATATTTATGCTATATTATTAAGTGTTTAATAAAAATTTGTGCTTTATTGTTGTACTTGTTGATATACATTATACTACATATTATTGCATCCGTATCAATTCAAGTAGATACATTGACCTTCTGGTTTCAACTCTTATTTAAACAAATCGATATAAAACTTTAATTGGTCAATCTGTTTATAATAACGGGTCTCTAACTTTTTCTCAATATATTTATAATATTAAGGATGGCACATGTTCTTTCGCAAATTCACGTATCTGAAATAAACATTATGTTAATATTGATGCTTTCATTAAACAGAAATTATGTAAAAATAAGTATAAAAGAAAGTATTACCTCGGTAAATGGTTTAGCAGTATAAATATTATTAATAAGCACGTTGAATATCTTTGTCATCCTGATTAAACTATAAAAAAATAATGTATGTATATAAATATAGTTAAAACATACGTACATATATAAATAAACGTTCCTGATTATATTCTATATACATATATTTATAGAATGAAAGGTGTTACCTGTCTTTGTAATATATTTTAAAAGACGCTAGTATTTCTTACTAAAGTGTTCTTAGCATGTCTTGCAAGAGTAGAAAGAAACATATTAGTAATTAAAGTATCAATTTTATCTTTATTTTTCTGTGTAAGTGTCTTATAATCATTCTCTCTCAATATGTTCTTTTTAAATTCCGGTATTACAGACCACAAATATTTAACGATAATGCTAGAATTTTCAGAACAACCAAGGTAATTTAACATTTTATAACCGGATTTTTCTTTGTACATACGAGATGCCAACAAATATGTACTATTCCAAATACTAGCGTTCACTCTCTTTAAACCATTACAATATGTTCATTCCTCCCACCAAGACGAAATTCTATGACAAAGAAGAAATTAATTTTTAGTTATTGATGACACATCGATATTTAACATATATAGCATTTTTATATTAAGAAATGTTTAGACAAATATTTATATATGTATAAAAAATATAAAATGTGTCCAGAAACTTTTGTATAATCTATCTTCGTAGATATGGAACAATAATAAGAATAATGGATAAATAATTATAAAAATTATATTTTTTATTTGTATTTTTATATATATAAGAAAATGTTCTTTTATTTCTATTAATTTTAGTTTTGAAGCTTTCGGGGCCATTGAAATCATCGATGCAAAAGGCTTCCGAATGGATGCCGACCGCATGATCGAACAGCGTAATGCTGACGTTTCGCAAACATTGCAGTTTGCATCTTTAATTTAATGCTCTGCGTTCATTTAGATAACTGGAATCAATGGGTTCATTGGTTTACTGGATTTATTTGTTTTCTAACAAAAACAGAAGAGGGTGAGAGAGAATGAGAGGGCGAGAGGGAGCGAGAGGGACGAGAGAGGACATAAGAGCGTTACAGAAAGTCGTGACAAAATCGTGACATAATCTTTTTATATACATATATAGAGTAGATATGATTATACATAAATTTTATATAAATAATTTACATATATATAAATATTTTATATAAATAATAATTTATATAAATAATTTACATATATAAATATTTTATATAAATAATAATTTATGTAACAAATTGCAATTACATAATTTTATATAAATAATTTATATAAATAATTTACATATCCTAGCAAACACAGTATATAAATGTTATATACTTAAGCATGTTACATGTAACGTAAATGTTAGTTGTAATTTCCCACTCATAGATGTAACATTTTTAATATTACATATATTACATTGTAGTTATATTGTCATTATATCTCAAGATAGCACTGACTTATCAATACATTAATGTGCTATTTGGTATATAATTACAATATAACTACAATGTAATATATGTTATATTAAAATGTTACATCTATGAGTGGGAAATTACAACTAACATGAATATTACATATAACGTACACGTTATATTACCTGTTATATTCCGTTTTATTATAGCAATGTAACAATTATATATCGGTGTTTGCTGGGATTACTACAATAACTATAGAAATAATTTTCTCTTATTTCTTCAACATTTACTTCAGTTTGAAACACTTCTGTAAATAATTTTGTAGCTGTTTTTTATTTTCTTTATTACCCCAGCAAACACCGATATATAATTGTTATATTGCTATAATAAAACGGAATATAACAGGTAATATAACGTGTACGTTACATGTAACATCCATGTTAGTTGTAATTTCCCACTCATAGATGTAACATTTTAATATAACATATATTACATTGTAGTTATATTGTAATTATATACCAAATAGCACATTAATGTATTGATAAGTCAGTGCTATCTTGAGATATAATGACAATATAACTACACTGTAATATATGTAATATTAAAAATATTACATGAGTGGGAAATTACAACTAACATATACGTTACATGTAACATGCTTAAGTATATAACATTTATATACTGTGTTTGCTGGGACTTTTCCTGTATATACGTACGAAAATTATTAAATCAAGAGACACGGTACCCAGCAAACACCAAATATAAATGTTATATAACTCAAGAGTAACATGTAATATAACAGATGTAACATAATGAGAATATAAATATTATATTACTTAGGAGTAACAGTTAATATAACAAATGTTACACTCTATTAATATTATAGCTACGTAACTTTATTTTATATATACAATGTAACTGTGTTATATTGCTAATAATATTACTCTGTTATTTATATGTTATATAAGTGAACATTAATATAACTGATATGTCGCGTGTTACATAACAATTGTTATGTTTATGTCATATTGGTATAATATAATTTGTATTACAAAGAATTTATCTCCGCCGCCTTTTCCGCTAGTGCGCACTTGTGCAGACTACTTATTGTTAGAAAAAAGAGATCCGACACGTGGTCATCGTGTGTGTCCTGTGTGTTAGTCGTTTTACGTGTGTTTTTACGCAATTTCTAATAAAGTGCAATTTCAATCAGAGATAAGCTTATTTGTTTATTAAATAAACGTTTAATGTAAGTTATGGGAAGTATTTACATATATTTTAATTAACATATTACGGCCTTCAACGACTGTAATTGTAAAATAATCTAAAACTTTATAGACAGAATATTAAATAATGATAAATTATTTATAAATATATTTATACATATTTAAAAAATCTATATATATGTTTAAATAAATTATCATATTCTGCCTATAAAGTTCTAGGTTATGTTACAATTATACAATAAATATAATTATATTATTATCATACCTTGAACATAAAACAGTTATACATAATATATTGTTGGGTAGGAAGGTATAATTATATGATCTATATATTGCACAATGCTACAGACAACAAATAATAAGAACAGAATTAAATAACGTAGGAAAGAAAGAGAGAAGAGATATTTCTTGTCTTTTCTTTCACGTTATTTCCTGTTCTTATTGCCTATTACCTGTGGCATTGTGCGATAGATCTTATAGTAATAATATGTGGGACAAACTAAATGCAAACTTAATACAAGAATTTATGAACATAAAAGAAATAAAACAATCGAATTTGAACGTCGTTTCTCAACATATTATTGACATAAATCATACTATAAATTGGAATAGTGTTTAAATATTAAATTATGAAAGTAATTATTACAATAACCCAGTAAACACCGATATATAATTGTTACATTGCTATAATAAAACGGAATATAACAGGTAATATAACGTGTACGTTACATGTAACATCCATGTTAATTGTAATTTCCCACTCATAGATGTAACATTTTAATATAACATATATTACATTGTAGTTATATTGTAATTATATACCAAATAGCACATTGATGTATTGATAAGTCAGTGCTATCTTGGGATATAATGACAATATAACTACAATGTAATATATGTAATATTAAAAAATGTTACATCTATGAGTGGAAAATTACAACTAACATATACGTTACATGTAACATGCTTGAGTATATAACATTTATATATTGTGTTTGCTGGGAAAAGATTAATATCCGAAACACTACACTTAAACAACAGAAAAACAGCTTGAATCCTATAAACGATATTGATTTATTGGACAAAGCACATTTCCCGATTTTAGACAAAATAAACAATATATAAATAAATTTCAATATATAAATAAACTTCCGCTAAATAATATATGTATAAAGCTTGGGAGAGAGATTCTACAATACGTATATTCAGCCTATATGTTACAAAAGAACACACTATGATAAAGATCAAACCAACAAAAATTGTAAGTAACATGCATTTTGACAAGATTTATGTATATTTAAAAAATCCGTATAAACGTTTAATTGTACGCTAATTTTAACATAGATTGACTATAAATTATTACCGATCACCGAAACTAATATGAAGAACAAGGACGAACATATATATTCACTAATAAGACAACCATTGTATTAAAAATAAGGAATTTTAGAATTTTATCATATATGTTAGATATTAGTATTAAGTTCAGCGATTGAAAAGTCACAAGTAAGTGACGAAACGTATCATGCAATTTGATGTCCCATTTATAATATATTAATTTTACACTTCCAACCATATTTGCTCGTTTATAAGCCTTTGTATTTTGAATTAATTTTTTATTTGATACGAGCTTGATTATTATATATTTTTAATTTTTAAAAAATTTTAAATTAAAAAAAAAATTAAGAGAATTGCCAAGCAGACTATAAATTATGATTTTTTCAACATAAAAGTATAGTTATAATTCGGAAATGATTTATTTCCAGGCCTATGTTTATATAATTTTTTTTTCCTTTTGGATTCCAAGTCATCTCCCGAAGTATTGCGGTCGATTTTCTGGACACACTGTATATTAATGTTATTCTTCAGTACACACTCTACAGTACAATTAAGATAAATAAACATTGAACTTGCACGCAGAAGACGAACACAATATTATTCGTCAGAGTCTGATTAGAACCGCTAAAGTAAGTTTGTTCATGTACGTGTTGTTATAGTGACAGTGTTGAAAAAATTAACACATTTGTTTATTCGTTAACATTAATTTGACCGAAAATTTTATTGCAAATAAAAGATGATTTAACAAATCAATCTTCTTTAAACACTCTTAATCACCTCCCGAAGTATTGCGGGCGATTTTCTGGACACACTGTATATTAATGTTATCCTTCAGTACACACTCTACAGTACGATTAAGATAAATAAACATTGAATTTGCACGCAGAAGACGAACACAATATTATTCGTCAGAGTCTGATTAGAACTGCTGGAGTAAGTTTGTTCATGTACGTGTTGTTATAGTGACAGTGTTGAAAAAAATTAACACATTTGTTCATTCGTTAACATTAATTTGACCGAAAATTTTATTGCAAATAAAAGATGATTTAACAAATCAATCTTCTTTAAACACTCTTAATCACCTCCCGAAGTATTGCGGTCGATTTTCTGGACACACTGTATATTAATGTTATTCTTCAGTACACACTCTACAGTACAATTAAGATAAATAAACATTGAACTTGCACGCAGAAGACGAACACAATATTATTCGTCAGAGTCTGATTAGAACCGCTAAAGTAAGTTTGTTCATGTACGTGTTGTTATAGTGACAGTGTTGAAAAAATTAACACATTTGTTCATTCGTTAACATATTAATTTGGACCGAAAATTTTATTGCAAATAAAAGATGATTTAACAAATCAATCTTCTTTAAACTCTTAATATTTGATTTTCAATCGTTAAACATTATATTAATTATACATAAAGATTCAAGCATCGTAATCTTTTTATGATAACTTCAGAAAATATAGATAATATAATTAATATGACTAACCTAAAGTTCTTTACATATGATACTTATGACCTTTAAAGAATTAATAAGAAATAATAAATCAACAAATAAATGATTATTATATAATTTAAAAATTGTTAAATAATTTATTATATAATTATAAATATTAATAATTGTAATTATACAATATTAATTATTATGTACAATATTGTATAGTTGTGGACAATATTCTATAGTTTAAAAGTTTGTCTATATAAAAATATTTTTTTAAATATATAGAAAAAATTGTAAATAAATATATAACTAGATATATAAATTGAAAATATATTTTTTCTTTTTGACAAATATTTAAATTAATATTTTTCAAAGGAATAAAAATGCTGTACTGAAGATAAACTTTCACTTTATCAAATATAATTGCTGCATAAAACAGTAACAAAATATGTATAAATCTAACTTTCTTACACTTCTCTGTTAGATCTTCGTAATACACACACACACACACACACACTTTTCGTGAATATTTTATCACTTATAATAGTTTATGCAGTCAGAAAATGATCTAATATCAATTTCTCGTTCTACAGTTTGTCGCCTCTTAACAAGCAATAAGTACTTCAATATATCTTTCAATGGATTTATTAGCGAGAATGGCGCTGCTAAATATCAAAGGATCGTCAAGAATGCTATTATCCTCTCGACCTCGGGTAATGTATATACAATTTTATATAATTTATTTTTAATACAATTAATTTTATATAAGTTTATTTTATAATTAATTTTTCATACAATTTTGTATTATACATAAAGTAATATTATAATTAATATAATTAAATATACATACAAAATGTCATTCAGAAATGTAAAGAAATTAAAAAAAATTTTTGTAATAACTTAAAGATTTATTTTTATATATAATTATAATTTTTTATTATTAAGACTTTATATATATGTATAAATATTTTTAAATATTTTAAAAATGAATTAACTTAAAATTCTCTTCTCTTTATAGCGCATTATTCAATATCGCAGAAACCTTAGCTCTCAAGAAATATTTGAACGCGAATCAAAGTATGGGGCACATAATTATCATCCGCTTCCCGTGGCCCTGTGCAAAGCTCAAGGTGTTTTTATATGGGATGTCGAGGGTAAACGGTATTTCGATTTTCTAAGTGCTTATTCAGCAGTCAATCAAGGCCACTGTCATCCAAGAATCTACAAAGCGATGATCGATCAAGCCAAGACATTAACTCTGACATCTAGAGCGTTTTATTCCGATATTTTGGGTGAATTCGAAGAATATATTACGAAACTTTTCGGGTATGTAATGCGCTACCTTTGAAACCTAAGCTTATATTGATAAGATTAATTGATAACGGTATGAGAATCGGTATGTGCCCCAATTGCAATCAAAAGTTGAAAGCATGTTCTAATTCTAACATCAAGTTGGGTGTAACGCCAGAGCAGATCTGTCATTAACAGTGCGACGACAGATTGACGCAACAAACTGAGAACAGATTTATCAATCGTAAATTAAAAACAGATTTGCGCCAAATGCTCAGCAAATCGAAGAAAAATCCCAGGTAGCACATATTCGTTTCAGAAACGTTTATATTTGGTTAAAATGTCCACTCGAAAAACGTTTAGGAAAACGTTTATTTTCGAGTTTAAAAAACGTTCAAAATATCACTTTTTATCGTTTTATACTTATTCGTGAATTTGCAATAATATAGATATATCCGCTATGTCTGCTTTTAAATCGCATATTGTGCAATAATTTTTGTAATGCTGATACATTTTCGACTTAATATGGCATTTATGAAATATTGTAAAATATTTCTTATTTTTTTTATTTATTTGGACATTTGCTTAACCAATTTTTTAATAATCATTTTCAAAAGAATTAAACTAATAAAAATTATGACATTGTAATAGCTACTTTTTGTATGCTTTATATAATTATCTGACTAAAACTTAATAGCGAGATAAATAGCTCAGCTTGCGACGCATAGCGTTAAATAAAGGAACTATGTGATTGCATTATAATAAAGCAATAAAATTTTGCAATATCTCCTATAAAATATTAGGTCCTTGAATAAGTTCTCGCTGTTTCTTAAAAGATGGCGTAGCGGCACTCTGTGCATGGAATTTCGTACGGAAACGCATCAGCTAAGTAGTACTATATGTAACCTCAAATTCTAGTAGATACAGTTTACCACAGTGTCAACCACGTGTTTAATTACCTATTGCGAAAATGTTTACTTTTGTGCCAAATAAAGTGTTTTTGCGGGGAATTTTATTGCACTGCTTTATTCAAAAGAAATCTGCAGCTGAAGCACACAGAATTCTTGTTGAAACATATGGTGACAATGCTCTGTCGAATACGACATGCAGAGACTGGTTTAGGCGCTTTAAAAATAATGACTTTGACCTTGAAGATAAAGAACGTTCTGGAGCACCGACAAAGTTTGAAGACGAAGAATTGGAGATCATTGCTTGATCAAGATCGGGCGACGGACAATACTTTGAGTAAAGTTATTGTAAGCCTTATATTTTAAATAAATGTTTTTTTTTTAACAAAAAAACAGCGAGAACTTATTCAAGGACCTAATATTAATTTATATTTGTATAATATTGTTGCAATATTTGTAATGTAGTTCGATATTAAAATATTTATTTTATTGCAATATTTTAGCAATATTTCGTGCTGTGGAGATATAATTTAAACGTAAAAAAATGTTTCTTAAATTATAATTTTAAAGACGTTCTTGTTGGGACGTTTCTTAAAAGTACTTAAACGGTTAATAAATGTTGGATACGTCTAGGAAACATTTCTGAAACGTACATGTGCTACCTGAGATAATTAAGGAAAAAAAGAAAAAAGCAAATAAAAAACCTAATTTTAATGATAAAAGTCGACCAAACTGGCAATAATTTATTAAAGATGTTTAATTGAAATACAACGTTTCGACTGTCATTGCAGTCCTTTTCACACACACAAGTAAATTTATAAACAATTACACAAAAATAATTATAACTTTTATCCAACCATTAATCACACAAATAATTATAAACGCCAAATATCAGTAAACCAAGAATACATTACCTACTAAGCGGAAGTATATAATTCATTAGTAAGACTAAACTAAGTTCACTGCAGACTGACATAATATTCACAATTGTTTTAATAAACAATGTAAAATTAACATAATAAACAGGAACATATAAAGGTGTTAACCGCTCGCATGAATCTTAGTCACTAATCGTTAATCACTAATCACTAATCATTAATAAAAAATAGAGTAATGGTATTAATTTACAGAAAGATACGGAGAGTTTTAGTGGAATTTATGATCGTGTTCTTGACGCTATTTAATTATATTTATTTATTTATTTATTTGTATTATACTGTTATTAGTTTGTAACTGACACATTATATGTTATTTGCTTAACGATTAGTGACTAACAATAAGATTAAACAATTTTTTAATCTATTCAAAATTATTTAACATTATATAATATTTTAATTTAATATATTAATACAAATACTTCTTCTGAAAAATGTGTGTTGTATAATTTTGTAATATTTATCCATGAAAATTTATTCATATACATATTTAAATATTTTATATCTTAGATATGACAAGTGGCTTCCAATGAATACGGGCGTGGAAGGTGGGGAAACGGCATGCAAGTTGGCACGGAAATGGGGATATTCTTGTAAAGGAATACCGTCGAATCAAGCCAAAATCGTATTTGCGGAAGGCAATTTTTGGGGAAGAACCATGAGCGCCGTCTCCTCAAGTACCGATCCGACTAGTTATAGTGGTTTTGGGCCATTCATGCCGGGTTTTGAGATTGTTCCTTACGATGATTTATTTGCGCTCGAACGAATCTTTGCTGATCCGAACATCTGCGCCTTCATGGTAGAGCCTATCCAAGGTGAAGCTGGCGTTGTGGTTCCTAAGGTAACAAGAAGATATTTATTTAAGGCTCCTTGATCCTCATCGACCATGTCGAAATCGTGACGTCAAAAGCGAGAAAATACATGCTGAAAACTTTTGCATGCCATTTTTAGATAAAAAAATTTCAATGAACCAAACCTACAAAATCTTTTGGCACACTCGTAAATATGTTCGAAAACTATCCTTTTTCTTGACAATCAATCAACAGCCGTAAGATAATTAAAACATCAGGCTTCGTCATACGGAATGACTGCGCATGTGCAAGGACCAGACGGACTGAGCCTCATATTTCACTCATTTGACATGTGTTAATTGATTACCTACAAAATCTTTTGGCATACTCGTAAATATGTTCGAAAACTATCCTTTTCCTTGACAATCAATCAACAGCCGTAAGATAATTAAAACATTAGGCTTCGTCATACGGAATGACTGCGCATGTGCAAGGACCAGACGGACTGAGCCTCATATTTCACTCATTTGACATGTGTTAATTGATTATAAGGGAAAAGATTAGACATGATTAATGAAGATCAAGGATAGCCTTAAGCATTTTATTTAAAGAGCATTTATTGTCAATGTCGAGCTTTATCTTTAAATTTCTTCCTGTCCCGGAAAGGATGGCTATCTGAGTGGAATTAGAGAGCTCTGTACAAGACATAATGTCCTATGGATCGCGGACGAAGTGCAGACCGGTTTGGCGAGGACGGGGAAGCGAGTCGCCGTTGATCATGAGAATGTGAAGCCGGACATCCTGATTCTCGGTAAAGCCTTGTCCGGAGGATTCTATCCAGTTTCCGGTGTGTTGGCGAATGATCCCGTCATGCTCACCATTAAACCCGGCGAACATGGATCCACGTATGGTGGAAATCCCCTGGGATGCAGGATTGCTCACGAAGCGCTTCGCGTTCTGGAAGAAGAGAAGCTTGCTGAGAACGCAGAAAGACTCGGTCACGTGTTCAGGGACGAACTGAACAAACTACCGAGAGACGTGATCACTCTGGTGAGGGGAAAAGGTCTTTTGAACGCCATCGTCATCGATAAAAAGATCGATGCAATGGATGTGTGCTTGAAACTGAAGAAACGCAGACTTTTAGCAAAACCAACACATGGACACATCATTCGTTTGGCACCGCCATTGATTATCACAGAGGAACAAATACACGAATGCGCAGATATTATTTCTAAGACCATTCTTTCGTATATTTAATGAAAATATATATTTGGTATTAATTTCAAATTGATTTTGGACAATTTTATATTAATTTTGCGGCAAAATAAAATATTAAGATAGAAAACATTTTGAAAAATAAAATACACGTATACAGGATGTAACAAAAAGGAGACCCCTGATTATCTCGGAAAATAAAAGTTCTACAAAAAAGATTCATATAATAATTTAATGGCTTAAAATAAGCTATCCAATGATTTTATCAGTTTGACCTTGGATTGTCATTTAAAGGTCACATAAAGGTTACCGTCAATTTTTTAAATAGAATCCCCTAATTTTTTATTGCATATTTTTATAGCTGATGTCAAGACCTTTCCATAACACTATAATTTTGAGTTATAAAGGTTTGAAGTTAACAATTTTTTGATATAAAATGTAAAATATCTCGCCAAATATTTAGTTTTCGATAATCACACCTTAATACTTTTATGCACGGAATAATAAGACCAATTAATCAATGTAAAGAAAACACAGTTGCTTTAAAAAGAATATGTATGTAATTTGCAACATATTTTTTTAAAAACAAATATATTTTCTTTACACCAATTGATTGCATGGTCTCATTATTCCGTACATAAAAGTATTAAAGTATGATTACCAAAAACTAAATATTTTATGAGATATTTTACATTTTATGTCAAAAAATTGTTAACTTCAAAACCTTATAACTTAAAAAGTACTTAAGAAAAAAATATTTCCTTATAGTATTTTAGAAAGTTCTTGAGATAAGCAATAAGAATATGCCATAAAAAATAAGGGGTTCCATTTAAAAAATTGACGGTGACCTTTAAGTGACCATCCAAGGTCAAACTAATAAAATCATTAGCTTATTATTTTATGCTATTCAATTTTAGTGTAAGTTTTTGTAGGACTTATTTTTCCGAGATAATCAGGGGTCCCAAACTTTTTACATCCTGTATATCAGAGTATATACATATATATATGTATATATATATATATATACATATATATGTGACACGCACACTATATATATAGTAAATTTTTATTTAATTTTTGCATTGAGATTTTTCAGAAAATAAGACCCAGCAAACACAGTATATAAATGTTATATACTTAAGCACGTTGCATGTAACGTATATGTTAGTTGTAATTTCCCACTCATAGATGTAACATTTTTAATATTACATATATTACATTGTAGTTATATTGTCATTATATCCCAAGATAGCACTGACTTATCAATACATCAATGTGCTATTTGGTATATAATGACAATATAACTACAATGTAATATATGTTATATTAAAAATGTTACATCTATGAGTGGGAAATTACAACTAACATGGATATTACATGTAACGTACACGTTATATTACCTGTTACATTCCGTTTTATTATAGCAATGTAACAGTTATATCGGTGTTTGCTGGGATCTTTCCTTAATGCATGGATATATTTAAAATCGATATTTTTGTTATGTTAAATTAAATATTTAACAAATGATAAATGCTAATAAAAAGTATATGTATATGTTTTTATTCACATTCAAATTTGTATCTCTAATAAAATGAGAATTTAATTATTAATAAATCTTTATATCTTATGTAATTTTGCTCGTTTAGTTGGCCTACAATATTTATTTTTTTTTAATTTCGTTAATTTATACGAGCCTTTCATTAATTAATTTATATATATATATATATATATATACACCTATATATGAATTACACATATAAACTTTTCAAAATACACATAATTATATTTATGAAAAAAAAGAAATTTTTATGTCCCATGGATGAACAATGTTACAGTTATATTACATTTTGATTATGTGTTATGGTTTGGTTATATAGCTGCAATATCCTATGCGTGGGAAATAATAACTAACGTGAATGTTACATGTAACATTTACGTTATATTATTTGTTACATTCCGTTTTATTACGGCAATGTAACAATTACATATCTGTGTTTGCTGGGTATATCAAGAGACACGGTAGTGTCTCGCGACCAGTTAAGGGCGTAGCGGAGACACCGTGTATCTTAACGCGAGTCGGACATTTGAGTCTTTATAATATTTCGAATCCTCAATAATGGCTGAAGCAATCGAGTTTATACTAGACTTAATCGATAGATTGAGTTTGAATTATATAATAAAAGTGTCTTTATTTCTGCTCTACGTGATTTGTAAGCAGAGATATATAAATGCAAAGTCGAAATATGAAAAATTTCTATTAAGAAACGTCCCCGTCATTATCATCATCGACCACGCATACATAGTAGTATCGTGTTACACGTATTCACACGTATACAACACATGCGCACACATATATCACACGTACACAACACATGCAAGATGCATGTAGTGGTAATTTTGTCCATCTCGCACGTTTTACAACAGATGGCGATAGTGGCGCTCCGCCATATCGGCAGCGTGCGGGGTTATGTTGGCTCTCTCTCTCTCTCTCTCTCTCTCTCTCTCTCTCTCTCTCTCTCTCTCTCTCTCTCTCTCTCTCTCTCTCTCTCTCTCTCTTTCTCACACACACACGCACACACACACACACTCTCTCATTCTCACTCACTCACTCACTGTTCGTCTTGTGTACTTATTTAGTACATTCATGATTAAACATCTATATGCATTAATGTGAAATTTACTTACAATTAGTTTACTTGAAATATTCAATCTCTAAAGTGTTTATCTTATAAGATAGACAAAAAAATCTGAGTAAATAATAAGAAAAAAAAACAAGGATTATTATTGTCATAATTTTTTATCAATTAAGTACTCTCAACTATCCAATAATTAAATAAATACGTACAAATGTGCGCGCGTGTACACACATACACATATTGATATTAAAGAGATTGAAGGAGAGGAAGGAGAAGATAAAAATTTAAATATTCACATATATTTTCAAATATTATATATGAATTTATAGTTTACATATCTAATTAATAATGAATTTCTAATTATATTAAACATATCAAAATAAAGACATACATGTATTTATCAAATGAATAAAATTATTGAATACAGACTTAAAAAATTTATTAAACATAGACTTAAAAAATTAATTAATTAAACATATTCCAAATTTAGAAAAAATAAACTTTATTTATATATGCAACAGCTTTTTAAACTAAATTTTTAAATTCTATTTTATATTAGACAATTATCTCAATCAACATCTACGTCCACATTAGCTGCACTGCAGACTACCTCTACAGCCACATTATCTGCTCCGCGGATATAGCGTTATGCCAATACGATACATTACATGTACTTACTTACTTGCCTTTACTGTACCAACTCTTGTTCTTTCCACGTAATCATGTTTTTACAGTTATCGTTTGCTGTATATCTTCCAGCAAACTTTATTTCGTGTGAAGTGTATTTAATTAATTAAATCTCTGCGAAAGATTGAGAAGATGAAGGGATAATTCAAACTATGAAGACATGGTTACATGGAAAAGACAAGAGTTGATACAATAATAAAGACATACATGTATTTGTATCCTGCTGGCATAAGGTTATAGAAGTTGATTGAGATTGAAAAATAATAATGAAAATAATAAAAAAAATAAAGACACATGTATTTGTATCGTGCTGGCATAAAGTTATAAAAGTTGATTGAGATTGAAAAATAATAATAAAAATAATTAAAAAAAGGAAATATTCAATCATCATTTAAAAGCATATTTGAAATCTGTAGAATAAACAGTTTTTGCAAAAAATGTGGAGCATTTGAGCTCTAGTAAGTCTAAAAATAAATGTAAACATCAATTAATAATAACTGATGTTATATATATATTATATATATAAACCAATTTGTTGCAATATTCACTATAAAAGGTTGTAAGGGTAAGATGGCTAAAAGTGAATAATTTAAAAGATAGTTAACATAATTTTACATAAACTGAAATATTTCATAAAATAAAATATTTGTAATATTTCGAAGTTTATGTAAGATTATGTAAAAATTATACCTTTACAACTTTTTATAGTAAATATTGCGAGGAATCGATTTATATGAGAAAAATTAAGGTAATTCTATTTTGAAAATATAAGTGACCTTTAAATAACCTTGAAAATCGCCGTTTAGGAAAAAGTCTGTGTCAACTTTTTCTTTTTCGAAATCCTGCAACTTTTATCTAAATTTAATAGAAAATGTATAAAAAATGCTCGACATTAGTACACACACACACACACATATACACACACACACACACATATGGGTAAATTTATATAAATAGGGTGCTTTAGGAGGAATGATCAGGATTCTAGGATATGATTGTACACATCATTTTAAGCAAAGAAGTTTAGATAAACATGTTTAATAATTGTTCTATTCCGGTCATAAAAATATACAAAAATGAATGATATAATCTCTAAAAACTCACCTTTAAAAAAAGGTAAAAAAAGGCGACCAGTTAAGGGCACGCCATTAACAAAAATTATCCATTGCAAACCCATGTAGAATCCTATCCTATTGCAAACCCATGTAGAATTGTATTAAAAATTATCCATTGCAAACTTATGTAGAATCCTACATTGCAAACCCATGTACAATAGAATTGTATGAAAAATTATCGATTATAAACCCATGTACAATCGTAACAAAAGTAATGAAATAAAAAAAAAATTGCGCCAAGTGAAAGTAGAAACTTGTACCAGTGGAAAATTAAAGTTGCAGACATATATAGAGTCGTATAATGAATCAGTAAAAATTTAAATTTGCAAATGTAGAATCGTACCATAAAAAAACTTATCTTTTAAAAAAAAGATAAACAAGATGCCAAGTCCATGCGCCATGTAAAAAAGAAATAAAAAAATTTTAGTTAAAAAAACTGGGAGCGCTGCTAAATAATATTCTAACAATATTAAAATTAAATTGTTACTTTTAAACTCATTACAGTTAAAATATGTTTTGTGTTTAAATTAATTAATGTTACTTTAAGGTGCATTGTAATTTTGAAACTTAGCAGCGCGCCCAGTTTTTTTAACTAAAATTTTTTTATTTCTTTTTCACATGGCGCATGGACTTGGCATCTTGTTTATC